TTTATTCATTCAATTACATTATGCAGAATCAATAAAACCATAGCCTCTTTTTCTATTTTCTCTTTGGATTGATTAACACTAGGTACCTTCGAAGTAAGAAGGGCTTTTCTCTAATTTTTTCCTTGATTCGTTTTCTCCCCCATCATCTTGGGAGAGTTCGTTGCTATATTTTCATGTGACGGGTGTTCTCTAAACCCCATTTGAACTAGGAAACAGCAAGAGCTTGTTTTGATGTATTCTTGAGGATTCCACTGATATGCAATATTATGCAACAATGCTCTCTATTTTTTGTTATGTCTTTTTTATAATTCTATTTTAATACCATTCAAGAAATGCTATAAACATGTTCAAGAGTTTCTTTCTGGGTAGGAATTGAATATTTGTCAATCATTGATATCGAAGGAAACTAATATATATAAAAAAATTTTATAAACAGAAATTAGCCTTTGTTTGGTACCATTAAAAAATCTGATTAAAATCTAAGTTAAAATCTACAATTAATTTTAACCACACATTTCATTCACAACTTTTCAACAACACTTTCCATTAACTTTTATCATATATGTTAGAAATTTGATTTTAATCTCTACCAATTATGGCCTTAATATTTTGATTCTGCATATCATGCTGATAACTGATTTCTACGTGTCAATGTAAATTGCCAGAAAATCCACAAATTTAATTCAGGAGAATTGAAATCTTAGATTAAAACACTAGAGTTTGTACGGGTGGTGTGAATTGTCCAAACAAGATTTGTGTCAGATTAATTGAAAAATCACATGCTTCCAAGAGGATACTACTTCAAACTGCATAATCTTGTCCCATCTATCAATGCTGAAGTACTGGAATCAAAACAAAATTTTCAACTTTAATAATCGAATCCTAAAATTGAATCAATCTTCGATGTGTATTAGAAATTTGTCAAAATGAATCATCAAATAAAATGGCCATTATTCTGAGAAAATGGAATTTTAAATAGTGATATTTTTGTGCAAAATATTTTATGTAAATGTTTGATTGATCAAAGAGTTTTATTTTAAAAGGAATCAAAGAGAGGCTAAATTACACTCAGTTTATAACTTATTCCGAACTCCATAAAACATTTTAAAAAGACTCGAAAAAACATACTGAATGAACAGATAGACATGTTCTCATGCTATTGATAAAGCTTTCCAAATCTCATGCTGCAAAAGCAAGT